ACAAATGAAAGGTTTGTGTTCTTTCTGGAAGCCACGGGTTTTATGGAGCGCTTTCAAATACTCCTCAGACACGCATTCTTGCTGGTCTGTCAGCATGATGTGTATGTGGTGTTCCCCAAAAGAGAAAATTCAGACTGTCATGAGATAATTGGCTTTTCTGGAGGAGGAAGAGTATCAGCTGCAGTGGTAGGAGCAGCGGGGAAAAAACAGACGATGCATTTCAGCCACAAGAGGAAACACGAATGAATCATGTAAAAACCCCTCGCACAGCAGAAACAGCAAAGAGCAACATTCAGTCAAAATTTAGCCAGAGGGATGGAGGAAGAGGGGAAAAGGACACAAAAATACAGCCACAACAAGTACTAAGCTGCAGCTGTTGGCTTTATAAGCTAACAAGGGATCTTTAGAGATTATTTGTAACTCTTGTAGAAACTCTCTCCAAATCTGCCCAGAGCACTTCTGTTTAAGGATATGACAGTGGAAGCGGCTGCAGAAAAGCTAACTTCAAAATCAAAGTTTACAGCTTGATTTGTAGCTCAGCACTTTTTTCTCCCCACTTACTCCGTTTGAAACAGTCTGAATCAAGCTCTGATAGAAGTCAGCAATTTATTTTAAAAAGGTGAATTCCCGGGTGAATTCCCAGTGAACGCTGTCCAAACTGTCTCTTTCCTCCACAGTCCAAGTGACTGTCACTGAACACGAAGCCACAAAATCATCAAGTATCTTAAGACTACTCTGTCTGAGGGAGCCAAAGTCCATTTGCTAGAGGGATCCATCCACCCACTCCAGTGAATCCAGAGAGGCATTTCTGTTTCTCAGAAAACCTTGAGCTTTGCCCCCACCAACAGTTGAGACAACACAGGATAGATGGGACCAAGTCATGACAACAAGGCAAGGAAGATGGATGCATTTAGTTGGGGAGCTTAGCAGCAAACACTGGCAATGACACGGGTCACTAGTTGAACAAGCAGAGGTAAGTCAAGGAGCCTAGAAATCAGAGGACTGATTTGCAATTTTCCCCTCTATAAAATTTGAGACTGTGCAAATTTCTGTCTTGATAAATCTTTGACAGGAAATTCAGTATGTATTCATATGAATCCCCCCCCTCAGAAGACAGCAGGGTTAGATGGAGAGAAAGGGCCTGACCTAAGACCAGTAACTTTACAGAGCTCAATCAACAGCATGAGGAGAGATCCCATCTCTTTGTTGTCCTTTGGGGCTAAATGAATTTCCTTTGAGCCACCACAAAACTGACATGCCAATACACCTGCGGTCAGATCGCCTTTGCGATCGTATCGCGTCCCGACCATCCTACCGCTGACCTGAACAGAAAATTTGGACTATAAACTCACATGGGCAGGTTTTGAGGCCTCCCTCCACATTTCTTCAGAGAGAGATGCTGCATGCTGCCAAGTGTCCCAGCCCCTCCCAGAGCTATAAGCATGTAAGTCATGGCCTGAAGTCTTCAGGCTAGGGGTTAAAAAAAAAAAAAAAAAAAAAAGTAACTGCAATAACACACAAACACGGAAAACAAAGCAAAATTTGAGATCACACAGATTTGTTCCATACTTACATAAACATCAACAGATCGTGAAGTGAAGGCTGACACACCGAGACCAGCTTATGTTGAATTCACCTTGGTCAGTTAGCTGTTAGGGAACAGATGTTTCCACTGGCAAATGAAAACCAACCGTAAATCTTTTGGAAAGGCTGGCGTGCAAACTCCACCAGGTGCCGTTCAGCCACCCCTCAGCAGAGCCTAGCCAGAGTTGTCTGTTCAAACACTACTTTGAGCAGGCTGGGCCAATAATATAAACTGTGATCAGCAACCCAAGACGAGATCTGAGCACAAGGAAAGAGAAGAAAAACTGACCAGTTCAGTATTTCATCACCCCTGACGTTTAGAAAATTTGCCTGCATCTCTCAGCATACAGTTTGCAGTATGATGTGGAGCTACAGGAAGACAAGACGTCAAAATGTTCCTGAGAGGTTAAGATCAAGACTACTGGCTCTTTCCAACCCTGTCTTGATTCAACTTTCCCGCTTGGGAAAACCACTAGCAGATGTCTCTCTGCATAGCATGAGGCTTGTTGGCCATGACTCTGCTTCCAGAACTGCATTTGCTTTACCAAGCTCTCACTCCCACTCCCGTTTGTATCTTCATCCAGCAAGGAACTGGGCAACAGCTTTAAAAAGTTCGAGGAAGACGCCGAAGAGAATCTGGTGTCTTGCGCTCACGCTGATTGACATTTCTCCTTTCAGACCACCTCCACGCATTACTGTCTGTAAGCGGCTCTCCTTGCCGCATTTGCTTGCTAGATTGGTTTCGCGACTGTTCTGTGAGAAGGAAATAGTTCAGTGTAGACGTGAACTCATCCGGACTGAAGCCCTCAGGCAAACACAGCTACAGCGGAAACCTTAGGCACGTGAGGTCTAACAAGCCAGAAGCGAAAGGAGGCCAGATTTCAGGGAGTAAACTGCTCACCGTGAGCCAGCTCAGCACAACACAAGCGAAGGATAAGAGCTGGGTTGCTCACCACCACATCACAAAGCCCCAAATTAAGAACTACCTGCATGCGGCCTCTTGTTGAATTGCACACCTAATGCAACAGTTTTACTAAATTCTAGTCTGCACCTTTCTTGCATTCTCCAGCCAAAACTCTTCTGAAGTGTGACTTGCAGTGCTTCCAACACTGAAAAGCAGAAAGGATTGTCAGGAATTCTCTTATCACCGGTCCCATCAAGTGCCAGGGGGAGGGGATCCGTGTGAGGGCATACAGTCCAAGTAACCGACTGGCAGAAATTTTCTACTTTGGAAAAAAAAGCGAATCCATCCTCTAGAAGATAAACATTTTCATTTGTGCATTAATCACAGCTCATTTACTCTCCTTATCCAAAGGCCTGTATTTCTTCCTCCCAACTGGATTTAGAAGCAAAGGCCTGAGCCTTTATACAAACAAGCTAGTGGCTTGCCCTGCTGCAGTGTCATTTTATTACAGCAGCACTTTATTTTCCCTGCTGTATTCAGGGAAGGAGAAAAAAAAAAAAATAAAGACTGCATCCACACTCAGCTGTCTCATCTAAACACCTCTTATTTTAGTTTTCAAATTCCATTATTCTCACTGTAGTCAGATTTGCTCATGCTTTCATCTTCGCAGACTCTTTTCTCTCCCTTTAAGAAAAAAAAAAAAATCCATCTTTAGCTCCCTATATTTCTCAGATCACTCTTCACTAAGTAATTCTAAAAATTAATTATTTTATTATTATTTAAAAATAATTATTTATAGTAATTACCAGGTTTTGCTGTTTCCTCAACTCTAAATTTACTTCATGGGAAAACTGTTTATATATTTTTTTAAAAGTATTCCTGATGTAATTACATTACTTGCGCTTTTCATTTAAAGTACCTAACACACAAGCAATGCTCCAAAAACCAGGAACCAGCAAGCAAAAAAACCCAAACCAAAAACAACCACCCACCCACAAGCCAACCCAGATACAACCACCTAATACTGCATCTGCTTTTTGAAGACTTTTTGTCTTCCGTTTCCCAACTGTCCCCAAATCCCATTCCCACCACACGTTGTTTCATTTGTTCGCCTTCCATTTGCTTCTCTCTGTGCTTATTTATTTCACTTACTCTTTAGTCCACGCTCCCAATTCTTTGTCAAGACAATTCTTTCACCATTGGGAGACCCAATCAGGCAGTAGAGTTCACTGGTGCTTCTCAACACCCCAAGTAAACCAAACTAGCCTGCCCAATTTCTTCTCCAGCACCTTTTCCCTATTTAGCTCACTGGGGCCACCCACTCAGTATTTTTTCTTCTCCCCCCTTTCTCTTCTCCAGTCACCTCAGGAGGTAGGTGCTTTCTCACAACACTTCTACTTGCAAGTACCACTCAGCCTGTTTTTCCTTATTCTCAACTGTGTCCTATACAAGAGGCCTGTTTTTAATCTCACGTGGTTACAGGAAGGGTATAAAGTAAATAATTAATGTGGGCACTCCACCAATCCCACCCATTTTACTAACAGGTTAATATCACATGGGCACTCCACCCTATCTTACTCATATGATTTAATTCTCAAGTGCTTTTCCTGTCCCTTTGTTTCTGCAGCCTGCTCTTGTTTGTGTTCTATCCTTCACTGGAACTCATTGCTACGTTTAGTGCTCCCTTGCCTCTCCTCTGTCTCTCTCCCCTCGTGTCTCTGCTCACCCACAGTACCCTCCTTTTTCTCTCTCTCATCACCACATCTCTACTTACTTTCCCCCTCATCAGCTTCATTTCTTTTCTTTTACTTGGCTGAAACTCATGACAAAAATCCCACTAATATTTGGAAAGAAACGTGGTGCTTAGCATGGCTAGGAAGAACAGAGTAGAAAGTAACACACGTACAGTAAAACCTGCAGAAAAGTGTAATTTCTCATGAGGAAAGACAAGGCACGGGGGCCACACCTCATGGCACAAGAGCAGAGCACGGTCCATCTTCAGCTCCACTGGGGTCGATGTGAACATCTACAGAACACAAAAGTGGAAGACCAGACCACCTCACCTCTCCTCAAACAAAAAAAGCACCACATTTGTTCTTCAAGGTAAACAAAAGAACAAGCAAGCAGGTGAAGAAGCCAAAAAAGTTGCAGCTGCCAAGTTATTTCCAACAAAAATTAAAGTGCTAGCCGTTCAATCCATTCCTTGACTCATTTCAATGGTACAAGTGGCGTTATTGTACAGACAACTATTTCTGTATGTACTATTTTTCCTAGGGCACTTAGTGTTCCCTTGCTTTTGCCGGCGTTGTCCATCGATTACAGCATCTAAGAAACGCACGCACAGTTGCGAGTGTTTTCTTGCTAGCCCGCTACGTAAGCATCAGAGAAAGTTGCCGAATAAAGCCGCCTTCTGCTTCTGAACTTCTGAACCGTACTGTTACTGAACGCCTCGCAGCAGAGGGCAACTGCTCTGTAAGTCAACATTATGCCTCAAAGGAAGCAATACAAGAAATATTTAAATCACATTTTATTTTTCAAATTCAAAAATAACAATTAGCTTTATTTAACATGTTACACTTCTCACAGATTTAAAATATCATGCTCTATTTAAATATCTGAGTGACAACACTATACAAATAAAATGTTACACAAAATATATTTAAGAAAACGTTTTGGTCTTCAATCTGAACAATAAATAGACAGGCACTTCTACATATACAAAGGAAGCAACCACTATTTAGAATAACTCTTATAAGCAAGATGTGGAAATATAGAAGAAGATTTGAGTTTTGAGAACATGTTTAACTCTACATGAGACATCATGCAACTTTAACGTTTGTTTCAAAATTCAAAACTCTTAGGATCTGTACAATTCTAGATTTGCTACCTCTCTGTAGGATATCCAAACCATGCTCGTAAGCAATGTGCAATTTCAGTTATTTGCATCAAACCAAGCTACCTGATCACATTTAGTGCCAAAAGAGAAAGCAAGGACTACCAACCAGAGTAGCTTTTCTCATAAACAACATTATCAATAACTCAGCTTTACCTCACGTAAGTGGGGCAGGGAACAGACCTAACTGTACCCAGTGCCCAGCCCCAAACAAAATCTGCTCTTCCTTGTCCTTATACATTCAGCTCTTTTATGGGGCTTTTCAAACAGTATTATGCCTTTTTTTTTTTTTTGGTAAAAAAAGCATAATTAGTAAAAGAGTAAATCCTTCAGGCACAGGCATGCTTTGCACAAAAGATCCTAAGTAAAGGAAAAAAAACTCTTCTGGGGTGCAAAAAGACTGAAAACGATAAATTAAAAAAAAAAGTCAATAGTTAAAGTCTCATAAGTGTTTCATACTTAAAGTAAAACTACATTCCTCCAATTTGTGAATTTTCAATTTACAGTGGTTTCTACACACCCACACACAAATACTACTCAAGGAGAAATTATCTTCCACCATCACAATTAATGAAAGATGTGTTGCAGTAGGCAATCCCTGTTTCCGATACAGCTAACCAATCACTGACAGCTAGTTACAGCCTTGGAGTCCTTTTTAAAATTAAGACTGATATTGAAACATAATGACCACCACGACAGTGGAAAAGTCGGACCAAGTCTTCAAGCCATTCCCTCAAATTTTAATATTATTCTCATTTTCAAAAGTACAGAAAAAAGTTTCCAGAGAAAATTAAACTGTTAAACAGAGCTTCAATGGTCCACCAAGAAAGTCAGACCCAATCCTGGAAAGTTATTTGGACTTAAGACACTTACGCACATTAACAATTTAAGTGTGGATCTTGCAAGCGTGTCCAAATCTTAATCATTTCTTGAGGTTTTCTACTATGCACTAACATCAAGTTTGTGTAGGAGCATATGTTATTTCTGTATTTCTCTTCGATATCAAATGTTTTGAAGCCTTTGTGTTTTTCCGGAGCAAGCCCAAGCTTCTGAAGGCACATTCCAGTATAAACATCATCAATAGGGTAAAGGAGTACCTGCTCAGATGCATTATTCAATCTTAATGCCAGATCACCAGAGTACAGAAACCCACCACCTCCTGCATATGGAGGATACGAACCTTCATAAACACTTTCTGGGATGTAGTACTTCAATTTTTTTTCTCTATGAGGTCCAGCATCTTTGATCACATCACCTATGAATAAGTCTTTGGCTTTGTCCTTCGATAAGCTCTTCAAGTAATCCAGGATCTGATGCGTATTCACAAAAACATCATCATCACCCTTAAAAATAAACTGGACATCTGCACAACTGCTGCTGACCCATTTAAGAAACAGCACCTCTTTCAGAGTTAAATTGAAGAAAGTGTCTCTGTAGTTCCAGAGGAGAATGTCTTGGTGGGTTTCACTCTCAAATTTTATCATGTCTGAAAGATCAGGAAAATTATCCTCTGGTGGGGTCTGTCCAAGTAAGAAGACCCTTCTGACTGTCACATCCCCTGATTTTATTTCCTTGCCCCAGGATTCCCTAATTGCTTGCCTTCTATCAAAATGGGGTGTAAGTGACTTAATAGCCAGCAGCAGAAAAGGTCTATGTTTGCACTTGTTTGGCTGATCCATTAATAGCGAATAATTTCTACATCTCAGATAAAGTAGAAAGTCTTTGAATCTGTCCGGCAAGTTTGCAAAGTCACTAACCTCTGAAGGTACCCACGGGTCAGGGTCACAGGAACTGAGAACACTTGAGTTAGACACTAAGTTCTCTTCCACAGTCATATTGGAAAGCAAGGTCAGAATAGGGTTGTACAGCAGTTCAAGCTTCTGTTGCTGTTTGTTCCAATAAGCTTTGTGAGGAGTGTATTTTCTCCAGAATTTGCTGCGTGGTATAATAACACGGCCTTTTGCATTTTTCTCTTGGCTGCCGCTCTTTGAGACTTCCACGATCACATAAATAAAAATGTTTACCATCATCAGAATTCCCAGCAGCTTTAATCTTCTGCGTCCAACACTCATTTCTCATATCTGGAAAGAGGAAAAAAATTACAGATTTTTAGCCTTCTTCCTATCAAGTTGTTCATCTCAAAAAAATGCAAACTACTTTCAGATAAAGAACGTTCAAGTTAGTAGCCTAAAAACAGAGGTTACCTACAGCCAAAAAAAGGCAAAAACTAATCTACTCCTAAGACATGCACACCTACAGCTAGCAGGTTTGGCGTTTCATCAGCAGAGAAGAAGCTGGTAAAAATGTAAAACTTCCATTTGCTATTTAGGAATGTTACATCGCATTTCACAGTGCGCCTAAATTAGCCAGCAGGTTTTGCTCCTCATTTAAGCCTCCTTAAAACACTTGACCATGTAATAATTAGAATCTGACCCCTCCGCTTGGCAAAGGCAGCTAGAGAAACTTTTTTTTTCTGCTAGTAAGCTGAGCTTAAGGGTACAGAATAAATTGCTATACGATAAGGTCAGTTATTTTAAGTTTCAAGCCTTCATACTTGCACTCTTTTACCTTCCAACTACATAATGGGCAGAGCTGAATTTGAAAGCATACAATTAGTTTCTGTCCATTTCACTTGGCTGTTCCTTAGGAGAGTGGCTGACAAAACTGGCCAGCTGCATTGATGGCATTCAGATCTCTGCAGACAGAAGAGAACATGAATTTTGGTTTGTGCTTTTTTTGTTTGTTTGTTTGTTTTTGTTTTGTTGTTTTGTTTTGGTTTTTTTTTTTTTTTTCTCCAGCTGGAACAGAAAATGAATGGCAGCGGACAGTGAAAGTGTAATGATTGCTAGGAAGGAAAAAAACTGAAAAGAAATCAAAAAAGGAGAGGTTTCCCATATATGCAAGTTCAGGAACAGTAAGCGTACCTCCCTGTTGTAGCAAAGGTGATTCTGTGACCCATCTCCAGTTTTTACTGAGAAAATGGATCAAACCCTCTTTCTTCCACAGCTGTGGGAATGAAAGGTAAACAGTAGAAGGAGCAACAGCGCGTTCCTCTAAAGTAGTGTTTATCAAACTGTTTACTAGCCCAGGGGTATATCAATGTACAAGCTGCACAAAATTTAACAAGCCATTCTAAATCGGGAAATCAGACTAGAAAATAATTCAGAATGAATAAGAAAGTTAGTAAGACTCCATTTAAGTCAGATGCTGAACTCACCGGCAAAGATGCTTTCATTTGCCAGGAGTAGCAATGATTATTGGAAGACCAGAAAAACCCAGTGAACTAAAGGGTTTGCATTCACTGTCAAAAGCCCAGCTGAAAACACTGCCTCAGAGGTCCTGAAGTCACAGAGGAACAGCAGTCGGGAAGGTACACTCGAGAAGTACACCTTGTACTTGGCTCTTCTTTTCATGTTATTTCCATCCATCACCAGACACCTGAGCTAGACTGACCCTTCGTCTCTTCTGGTTTGACCAGTCTTACTTTCTTTTACTTCTCAGCAAGGTAAACGCAAAATTTAGTAAGAAAGCAACAAGTAAGTAACTGGTGATATTTTGGGTTTTGTTTTGTTTTTTTTTTTTCCCCCCCTCATTTGACCCCAGATTCTCATTAAAACCAAAGGGGATCAAGGGAGGCCACAATATTTTTAAATTTAAGTAAAAAGCCACTCCTAGAAACAATGGACTACTCAGAAAAATCCCTACTCTTCCTTCATTTGACCTCATGTACCATCTGCATATTTATCTTTGTATACGCTCACACCAGATCTACTTTGTTTAATGTCCTGTTCTCAGTTGGCTATGAAGTTTTCTGTTCTAAAGTAGTTGTCTTCTATACCTCAAAGACAAAAAACACACTTATGGTCAGTGCCATCCATCATTTAAGCTAAACAGTTAAATTGTTAGAAAGCACTGGCTGGCCACACAGAGTTCAAAGAAACTTTATCTTCCTTTTTCAACTGCCATAGCAGCTTCCACTAGCAACAGGTATTACGTACTATTTTTCTTCACTTCCCTTTCAGTACACACAAAAATACCGGGGAAGCAGCTGTCCCATGCTCTGTATTATTTTACGTAGTTCAGCATGCACATCAGTGCTTATCCACCCCGTCCTCTACAGCTCTTCTCACTAGAACAACAAATGACATGGCAGTTGACCTATGATCCCAGGACTCCCCAGACAACTGGATGAGAAGCTCCCCCTGGTAATGACTAACAAACACAGGATTGTCAAGAGCTCAGCCAGAGCCTGATTTTCCAGGATATGTAGCACTACACAGCTCACCTGTCACAGCCCCAGTTACTAAACTATGAGTATTCAACACCTCTAAGTCATCTGGATGCTTGACCTGAGACTGTTCTGAAGACAGTGAGACATCACTTGCAGAGACTTTGTTTCAATCACTTAAAATCCTTCAAATCGCTAAGTCTTTTGGGTAAGCATTCAAATTCTGTAACTACAAGATCTTCCTCAATCTTCCTGTTTTTCACTTGTAGCCTTGCAATCCGCTGCAGCAAAGGAGAAAGGGATCGTACACAGAAAAAATCTCCGTTTACTGTTAGACTTGGTAGAACGTTTCATCAGAAAAAGGAGGAGTCTGGCAAAATGACATTGGTTCCACCACACAAAGCACGGTAAATGCTATCAGTCCCACATGTAAATACTACCACTATAATTTTCAATTTAGTTTTTAAAAAGCTATCCAACAGTGGTGATTAATATTTCTGAGAAAACCTAAGTAACAAGTGATATTCATTACCAATACAAATAACAGTTTTAAGACATGATCACCTCCCCCACAATTTTGCATGAAAGCATTCTTCTCTCCTGTAATCAAAAGCAATCTACATGGGGTTTTTTTAGGAGTTTGTTAAAAATAACTCATTAAGAATATCAAATCAATACGAAGGGCTACCAAGTAAGAACTGCTTTGTTAAAGTGTCCTTTTCCTAAACTGGACAATGACAGGTTGTATTAAACACTTATTCACAGCATTAGATTGACGTTCCTGAACTAGGAGCAAATAGAAAACAATCAGACTTCAGAAAGGCTATTTCTATAAGCTGAAATAGAATTCCCAATTTTGCAATTAGTATGTATTAGCTTTAATCATTATACCCAGACAGGAATTGATAAAAGGATGCCAGTTTGGAATTTCACATCAAGTGAACTGGATTTATCACAAAACACAGTATTACAATCCCCATCACTATGTGGGGGTGGGGTTGTGCTGCATTTGTAATATTGTTGCTAGTGGAGGGTTTTGGTTTTCTGTTTTGGGTTTGTTTTGGTTTTTTTTTTTTTTTTTTGGTGCTATGTTTCCACTTCCTCCCCCCCTCCCTTTAAACACCCACAGCCCACATCTCAAGACCAATCTAATTTCTTCATCGGCTTTGCTGACCCTGCAACGATTGACCAAAGTGCCAGCACGATGGGGATTTTGTGCGCTGGGCAGCTTGCTAAGGAGCAGCATCACAGAGTACAAGACAGCGCCCATTTCCTACTTACAGCTTTGCGACAGCAATCTGGACAGATCACAAGAACTTTCTCCTATTCCAGTAATAGCTTCTTCTATCAGCATTAATATTACAAAAATTCCCAGCTGCTTCCTTTGACTGCTGAGGATGGAAGATCTGTTAGGGAAGCCAAAAACAAACTACAAGTGATTTGGTTCATACTTACATCTATCCGATGCATTTTTATACTAGTTTTGTTGAAGAACCAAGATGAGCAGTATAAATCAATACTCCATTTGAAAAATTTTTGCTACTTTGGGTGTTAAAAAACAAAAAGGCTGGAACACTTAGCCAGCTAGCACAAAAAAAAAACAGAACACAGAAGTAAACACTACGTATTGGTAAAGCAATTCACAGTACGCAAAGAACCTCAGGAACAGAAAATCATGCAAAAATTTATTCTAGCTTCAGTGAGTAAGGTGAAGAGAGCTACCTACACTCAGAGGTGATCTGACACACAGTTTTTCAATGCCTGTTTTAAATTTCTCAGCTACACTGATATGAAGACAGTTTTAGCAATCCATTCAAGTTTGCACAAATCAGAGTTCTGCTTATGCAACTTCCAGCTGCACAGTTATGCATCAGTATCACTGCATACATACAGTCTATTTGTTCAAAGCCTTTAGAAAACATCCATGTGGTTAGGAAAAAAAAGGTTAACATTAACCATACTCTGGATAAACCAAGGTTCTGCTACAGACACAATATTTGGAAAGATTGATTCTGAAGGAATGTGGGGGGAAAAAGGGAGGAGTAGTCCTCTTCAGCTCCACTCCACTCTTACACTTTGCTGCAGTCAAAACTAAGGTATTGATAGAAGGGAACAGATTTATAGAGCCACAAAAGCAGCACTGGGCTCAAGAGATGGATAGAAAAGGCAAGCCAGCAGAACCTGAAAGGAAAATCTGCCTCACTGTGGGACCAGGCAGTAATCAATAAAACAAGATGAACCACAACAGAAGAAAACAGGTATTACAAAACAGCCATGAGCTACAAGAAAAGATTCCAAATGTTCAAAAAGCTTCAAGTCCAAATAACATTAATGTAAAACGGTGAGAAGCTGTTCACAAGTTGTTTTTAAACAGTATTGTTTGAAGCTTTATCTCAAGAGTGAATGTATTCCAGAAAACCTGTAAGGAACCTGTTCAGAAGTCTAGAAGAGTTAGTACGAAATTCATAGAACCATTCTGAGCTGGAAGGGACCCACGAGGAACACCGAGTCCAACTCTTGACTCCACAGAGGGCAACCTAAGAGATAAACCATATAACCAAGAGTACTGTGCAAATGTTTCTTGAATATCCAAGTACGTGCACTCCATCCAGCTCCAGGCATTAATTATACAAGAGACACTCTTTTCTGGAGGCAAGATTTTACACAAACAGGGGCCATGATGCCCCCGACAAAAGACAAGGGTTATATCTGGAAGAGGCCAAGCTCAAGGTCAAAACAAAAAACAAGGACATCTAAGTGTACCAGCCCCTCACTAAGGAGACGTGCGATACATCAGTTTGAACTTTTCACACTGGAGTTAGCATCCTGCAGGATTCTGATTAACCGTGTTACAGCACTTGATTTTCTGTAATGATTTCACAAAATTAGTGTGTGAAACAATGATGGTTAAAACTTTTTTTTTAAACTGATGCTACTAAGACTTTGCTGTGCACAAAACCAAGCCTGAATCTCTACTGAGGTTTAGCCATAGGTCACAAAAAGGCAAGAGAAAGAGGCAGACATTGCGAAGTGGCAAAGAAAACCCAAAATACGCAAGTTCAGAAAAAGCAATCCTCTCTAAGATAAAGACAATAAAACACGGTGGACTCAGATGATGCACTAACTAGTCCTCTATAGCAAAACGTCAAAACACACACACCTAGGTTTGCAGTCACCAAGAGCAACCTATCATCAATCCAAACAGGATTTCTAAAGACTTGGAACTTGCTTCAATATCCACATTTTGGCAGATGCTAGACATTGCCCTGAACTGTGAAGCAGTTTTTCTTTCCTACAGTTTTTAAGCAAGCTGCTACTTCATTTGACTTGGAGATGTTACCATAGATGGTAAAAACCTTTAAGATAGGACAGACAGGTGCTCTTTTGGAAATACCAAAGGAGGGCATTGATAAGCATGAAAGCAAGGGGCAAATGGATAAATTCTGACAGTCAATCCAATCAATTTTACCAATGAAGCAAGAAAAAACCTCTTTCCTGAAAAGTCAGATCAAGTTTGTATCTAACTTACTTCATTCTGCTTATATTCAACAAAACACCCACTGAGCGTTTAAAATACCAGATGATTAACTGCTTGCTTACATGTTAACTGAAATATCATGAGACAACTTCAGGAAAGCCACTTTCCTAAATAAGTAGAATTTTCTTTTATTCCAGGTTTCTATTTAGCAACCTGACTATCAAAGAACCACATATTCATACACAAAATACTGATCATATTTCTTGATTGTTATTGATGTTTAAGTTCCTAATAAGTAGGGGCCTCTTACTAAGATGTCCAATTGCTGCACATTGAAGCTTCTTCTGCAGCACTACACACTTTCTCAGTCTCTGCAGAAACAAATATCCATCCCCAGCTCCCCCTTGCAATGAGTGCATCTATAGCATGAAACTGAAAACCAAGCCTTCAGAAGGGAGCTAATAAAGGGAAAGCAACTGTTACCTCGTGTGCCTTAATACTGACTGAAAAGCCATCTTCCTTGCTCTTAAGTACCAAAGCCCATGATAAATTATGCAATCAGATTGCTGGTGACTATTCAAAACTTAACACCTACAAAGGTATTAGTTGTTATTGCAGGAGGGCTCCACCATTTCCGTTTTGAATGAAGGGATAAATTTTATTAACCCCACCACTGGGCACGATGCGATGCAACACCACTCAATAAGGATCCTTAAAAGCAGTTTCAGGTTGCCAAGTAGGTGCAGAGTACAACCCTGAACAGCACAAGGGTGTTAGGTGGCATTCAAAAGGCAGCATAGCCTGTGGTAGCACAGTGAGCCATGCTGCGTTCCACTGCACAGCACGGGCATACCCATAAACTTTTCCAGCAAGATGAAGAAAATGCAGTATTCCTGTTTATCACATAAAGGAGGAAAGTTTCAGGAAGCAAAAGACAGGTAAGATAACAGCCATTTTCAAGGTTATAGTTCTATTTTAAAATAAGTTTAAATGGTGTTTCTAGATGTACCAAACGACTGTTTCTTTATTCTAAGATGACTCCTTTGTTATTAAAACATTTTTCCTCTATGCTTTTGCTTATTAATGATATTTATTAATCTCAAGTCTCAACATGAAAGCTCAATAGCAGTAAAAGCTGTGACCACCAGTGAACAATCTCAACAGCAGCATATCATACAGATTTGCAGCTAAGCAAACCACCCAAAGCAGAGCTCCCTTAAAACAGCTTGCATATTTAGCACTAACAATTAACAGTTCCCCTGGGAAAGCAATACCAGATAACATGATGCAGACAATCTCAGGTGGCATTCCCTCCCACACTGCACATACCTGGCACCAGCATTCCTGAGCCAGCAAAATGCTCCACAGCAGATGCAGCCATAGCAGCAAATCTGTACTTCGAGGCACTAAACCAAACCTAGGCAGGGTCACGCAACCCCAGAATGAAAGAAAACCAATACTTTTAACCAGACTACCTGCCTCAACCCTTGCCTCTTGCAGCAGTTCCAGACTGTGGATCCACAAGCAGCTGAACCGATCTAATCGCCTAACCCCTCCTTTTAATGGGGACTTTCTCCTCCTCCTCTTCTGACTCTAAGAACTCAGGCCCAATCCCTCCCTCGCACTGGCTCTGGTGCTCTGCCAGGCCTCTCCGTGAATCAATTCACATCACTAACCCAGCAGAAAAATAACAATGACCAGAGATGCACACCAGATAAGCACCACAACAGCTACAGTGAAAGTACAGAGCAGAGAGAAGGGGAGCAGACAGATCTCCCCTCTTCAGCAGGGATGACAACACACCAGGAACTGAACCTTGGTTCTGAAGCCATAATCCCCTTCCACCCTCTGACAAGAGGCTATCTAGCAGCATAGCAACAACATTATACTTATACCCTGGTGCAAAAAGTCATACAACGTCAGTCTTTGAACAGCTCGTGCGGATGCAAGGTAAAACAAGCTAACTTTTCCACCTCCTTCAAATCTGACAGAAGCCATGACCTTTAACTGCAAATACTTGTATCTTCTACTGAAGACAGGAGTTATGCTGTACTTTCTAAGTGGGCTGAGTAACCTGTCTACATTATTTTACTGCCAAACCCAAACATTAAAAGTCCATTTACTCTCTGGGGCTGACAAAAGATAAGATAATCTTATTACCTGTGTGTATTATACCTACCACTTTACTGGTTCAGGAATAAGCTTTCAGGAATAAGCTATCAGGAATTTGGCAAAACAAAGCTGTAATTCGGGTATCTAACAGATACTACCACCTTCCTTTCTTTGCAGAGACTAGCTGTAACTGGGGCTATGGCAGGCTTGGATCTCACCACGTAACTTCATTCTGAAGCCTGATATCCCTTATAGCAGCTGTATATGAAGCACAGCTTCTGGTAATGCTAGCGACAGTGCACGCAATAGTGACACTCGTTCTGAAGATAATTTTTAAAATTACTTTTAAACATATCGCAAGCCATATGCAGTCCCTCTAACCTCCTGTGAGATGCATCAGTTCTCTTAATACCTCAACTCTGTTCAGTGAGTCAAAAGAAATTCCCGGATTGAGCAACAACAAGAGTGTGAAGATGTTAAGAGCCCCAGGCTGTTATAAAAAGTCTGAGCTATTTCCAGCTTTAAAGAAGTTGAACACTCTCTCAATATATATTTTTAACTACACACAATAGTATCTCTTTTTCCCCTTAGAGCTTACACAAGTCCACACTTACACAATAGTAATTATGAACATTTTATGAACTGACAAATATTCAACAAATTATCAGTACTCTGCTTCTGCAGAAGCACGCCACAACCATTACCACTGAATAACAGTCAAGGTTTTCTGTGTTCTTCAAACACCACAGTCAGCCTGAAACAATGTTCCAGTTGGAGGAAGGTTACCAAGATAACAACACACTACACAAAGCATCA